GGAACATGAAGTAAGCTATTTTGATTGACGTCGAGATTACATATTGATTTAGGCCTATCAAATATAATATTATCTTTAATTTCACAATATCTCTCAAGGAAATTGAATACTCTACAAGCAAACATTCGTTGTGGTCGACGATTATTATCATTGGATGTAAACCCAAATCATGCGATGAACAAATATATCATTATGATTGTCCTGTATCATAAACACCGAATCGTGTGAAGGCATAGCCTGCTGGCCTGCGTATCGATATTGACATCAAAACAGATAATTCTGTGTTAATTAATTAATTTAAGTAAACCGACATCGAATATAGTTTAAATATTTATCCGGCAATCATGAGTGCACGCTGGTAATCTAGTCGTTTCTATATTAAAATTTATAAGACCAGAGATTGCTTTCAAGATTGTTCTCACGGATATTGTTGATGATTCATTTTTTGCGAACTTTGGATGGACTTCATTTCGAGATGGGCTTCTTTTCGAGGCTAGGCCCATACTTGCAAAGTAAAGAGTGAGGGCCCGGGGGAGCTTCTTTTCAAAATGATCGCTGTAAATTTTGGGAATTACTACTAGGGCCACTGTAACATCTGTATCATGAGTGTATTATTCACCTACCCGGTACCGTACCGTATAAACCAAGCGTGTTTTGAATTTAATTTGTTTGTTTTGAAATTCAGGTACAGTGTTATGTAAGATGTGTATTGTCTGGAATCTTATCCCTGGCCGTGTGCAAGGGAGCTACCGGGGAGCTTGCATTTGCAACGAAGATTATTGTAAGCAGTAACAACGCACGGTACATTTCTGCAACGATGGAGCTGAAGAAAAGAAGAATAATGAGAACCAGAGGAGAAAACACAAACTACACATGTTAGGCCTATAAATATTGTCATGATTTTATTTTAATTTACAGACATGAAATCCCCAACATTGTACACATCGCAATTATAATCGTACCAAATCTCCAACAATTACAATGGGAATATTTTAACCTTTATTGGTAATGGTAATGGTAATAGCGCATAATTTCGTAAGTAAAGGTATACTTTGTTTAGCTTTAAAAGATAGATATGGGAAGAAACAATAATAATATCGTAAAGTGGACTGAAACGTCTTACCTAAATTTTCAGGAGCAAAATAATGGCGCGAATCTGGTTTACAGGTCGGGCGAGTTATGATTCTCATCCGTTCTTCTCTTAGTTTTATAGAAAATATATCACTGACAAATTGCATGTGACATTGCTGATAAAAAGGTGAAAGTCATCGTTTAGTTAATTAACAGAAGACTATTAAAGCGTTTTACTAATCTAGTGGACATGCGGAGAGGTTGTAAACTTATTTGAAGCGTAGAACAATTATGCTGATAAACCTAATAACTTCATGCGCTAGGCTAATTTTCCGGATCGATATTAACACAAGATTCTGAATCATTTTTTCTCGGAATGATTTTTCATCACTAAAACTTATGATTGGTTTGTTGTAAAGAAAATATAATGTTTTCATTAGTATTATTATGATTATTATGATAATATCATAAACAATACTTTTTTTAAATTAGCAAATGACTTCACGTCAACATACTGGTAAGCCACTGGAACATGAAGTAAGCTATTTTGATTGACGTCGAGATTACATATTGATTTAGGCCTATCAAATATAATATTATCTTTAATTTCACAATATCTCTCAAGGAAATTGAATACTCTACAAGCAAACATTCGTTGTGGTCGACGATTATTATCATTGGATGTAAACCCAAATCATGCGATGAACAAATATATCATTATGATTGTCCTGTATCATAAACACCGAATCGTGTGAAGGCATAGCCTGCTGGCCTGCGTATCGATATTGACATCAAAACAGATAATTCTGTGTTAATTAATTAATTTAAGTAAACCGACATCGAATATAGTTTAAATATTTATCCGGCAATCATGAGTGCACGCTGGTAATCTAGTCGTTTCTATATTAAAATTTATAAGACCAGAGATTGCTTTCAAGATTGTTCTCACGGATATTGTTGATGATTCATTTTTTGCGAACTTTGGATGGACTTCATTTCGAGATGGGCTTCTTTTCGAGGCTAGGCCCATACTTGCAAAGTAAAGAGTGGGGGCCCGGGGGAGCTTCTTTTCAAAATGATCGCTGTAAATTTTGGGAATTACTACTAGGGCCACTGTAACATCTGTATCATGAGTGTATTATTCACCTACCCGGTACCGTATAAACCAAGCATGTTTTGAATTTTAATTTATTTCTTTGAAATTCAGGTGCAGTTTTATGTACTATCTCAAAGAGAAGCCCATCTTGAAAAGAAGCCTCATAGGCTTCGTTTTACGGTATGCTATATCGGGGTGTATACCGCAAATCCTCGAATAACTGCCGCAGTTTTGAGGCTGCATGAGTGCGGCGCTTATTCGAGAGCGACGCTTTATAACAAAAACGTTCCCATGTTGACTACCTCACGTTACGTGTGACCACTGCTTGGGTATTTACCCAAGATCTTGGGTATTTTGACTTGGTCTTGGGTTCTTGGGTATTCCGTTGAAATCCTTGGGTATTTTATTTTTACTAAGAAAATTAAATATTTTTGTCATAGAGTAAGAATTAAGAAGTAATATAGTATATTTCAGTCAATTTAAGCATGGACCTATTAATAAGAAGTGCACATAACATTGTTAATTGACTGTTAATAAACATGGGTTCATAATTGTTTATTTGTGACTTAAGTTGCCATTGATCTATACCTAATTAATGCATTACATAATAAAACTATCACTGATCTACACTGATAACACTGGCCAACTGAGGGCGTATTTTTCTATTCGTATTACCTCATGAATATTAAAATTTAATAATTAACACAAACAATTACAATAAAAAATGGTTTATAAATTGAACTAAAAGGGAAACTTACATGCGAAAGATACATATTTTTCAAATTTTAATGCATTTTCAGGAAGCTTGGGTAATTTTGGGCAATTTTTGCTGAATCTTGGGTAATTCGACCCAGTCATTGGATATACCAAAAATTGTGAGTGGTCACGCTGCTCACGTATTCCCGTAGTTCGGTAGTTTCATAGGCCCTACATCATCGTAAATAAACGTTTATAAATAGGCTATATGCTTGTGTCTCCATTGTGCTCTTTATTCATTTGAACTGTATAAAGTCTAGTTTAAAACCCTGTTTCTCAAAGTGTTTAATCACACAAAGGGTAATGATGATGTACTGGCGACGACGATTATTCAAAATAGAATTTCGACGCGGCGCTTAGTCGAGAGCGGCACGCTTATAGCGAAAAGAAATCACGTTTGGTATGGCGTTTATTCGAGGGATGTTGATGTCGACCGCCAAGAAAATATTCAATTTCCAATATCCAAGCCAATATCTTGTGTCTTAAGGGACTCATTGGGAAACAAAAGAGTCTTCTATGTGTGTATGAATAAGAGTACCACTAAGGGGAGATCCCATAATTGGCACTGCTGTTGGCGTTGCTTTTAAAAAGAAAAAGTATTTCTGTTTTACAACATTGAGCTATTAATAAGTTTAATCTGGAATATAGGTTATGGATTAAAATCCCCATCGAATTACGTTTTATAGGGACAAAGGAGAACAATCCAAATTGGATAATACGAAAATTTACAAGATTTTACTTACAGTTTATACAACTGAAAAACAGTTTTTCCAAATAAAAATATAGCCTATAAAGCCTATAACTGAAATAGTATCAGTTTGAGTCTCTTCAATCGTTGCGATAGTAAGGGGAAAACATATAATATAGGCCTAAGTTAAAAATTGACCATACACAGGAAGTGCCAGATACTCACGCGAATAAGATTTGATCTGTGGAGTGGATTCACATAGGCCTATTCTTCTTATGCCAACTTCAAAATGAGGATATTTTCTCCTGGACAGATGAGACAGTAACTTTCCAACTTTCCTCTTCTTACATTTTTCTTGTCCTTTTTCTTTTCCCGACAATTTGCAAATTTAAGGCCTTTTTAATTTTTCAAGCCCTGCAATGATCCTTTATCTCAATCGACAAATGGTTGACGAGCATAGGCCTATACACCACCACCACCACCATCACCACCATTAATTTCATCTGCTGTTGAAACTGACATTCTTCTCAGGAGCCATGCTCTGTGAACGATTAATTTTCTGCGCCAGAACCATTCGTAATCTTCGGTTTCGAGATGTCCTTATACATACAATCTATTTTCATTCAAAAAGTGCCCCTTGAATTTTCAAATTCCCGTAAGAACCCCCAATAGGCCTATTCATATATTTCCAGCTCCCCCTCAATTTTCACTGTGTTTCCATAAGCGCCCCGTTTTATAAGCGCTACTCAAAAAGTACAAAAAAATATTTTAAGCGCCCGGGCGCTTATTCACGCGAGTACGGAATTCGGTTGTACAGCGTTGTTGGCGAGTATAACTTTAAAACGAGGCTGAGGATGTCCAATGTACGGAAGCTTAAAGTGACCTTCCGAGTTTCCAAGTTTCTAAGATAATTATCTTGGAAACATGGAATAAACACTTATTAAGACGTCTTTCCGAGATAATTTATCTCGGAAAGACGTCTTTCCGAGATAACGTATTTTGGAAAGACGGAATTCCAAGATAACGTATCTTGGAAAGACGGAATTCCAAGATAATTGATCTTGGAAAGACGGAATTCCAAGATAAGTATCTTAGAAAGACGGAATTCAAAGATAACGTATCTT